CAAACTTTTGTTGGTCCAAATCCTCCGAACCTTTTTTTAAATAATAATTTAGCAACGCATTATTCAGCAATAACATACCCCCCAATCAACTTTGCCATTTCCGGATCCAATCCTTCACCCTCATTACCCTCATTGTCTGCAACTGCGTTTTTCTCTTTAGATTTCTTTGCCTTTTTCTTTTCGTTTCTGTTACTCCTTTCTTCTTGCTGACGCATTTGTTCGCCTCGAAATCATATTCTTGTAGTTTCTTATCTTTTTGTTTTTTTAGACGATCCAGCCGTTTTGTACTTGATCCAATGTACTACCACTACGTTCTACTTTCAAAAGGAATAAAAAATTAAGTATGGCAATCTTTTATGTTCCTATTCCAGTGACGTTCAACATCCCGACAATCACAATCCCGACAAAATATAAATTCGACAACCAAAATCCTGAATGAACAGCATACCAACAGCACGAAATCCCGAATGAACAGCATACTGAAAGCACGAATTCTTGAATGCACAGCACTGACAGCACGAAATGAACAGCATACCGACAGCACGAAATCCTGAATGAACAGCATACCGACAGCACGAAATCCCGAATGAACAGCATACCGAATGCACAGTATACCGAAAGCACAGCATACCGAAAGCATGAAATTCTGAGTGAACAGCATACCGAATGCACAGTATACCGAATGGACGACATCACGAATGAGCAAAATACTGAAAGGACTAGGGATAGGAATCGATTCTCTAGAATCAATTAATTTTGTAAAATCGAGGAAATCGATTCTCTAGAATTGATTAATTTTGTAAAATCGAGGAAATCGATTAAAATATAAGAATTTGATTTCGTTCATTGTAAATAATTGATTTCACTTTCAAAATATTTACAATACATGACAACCAAAATGTTAATATTGATAATAACAAAGAAACTATTGCCAGAGTTTAATAACTCTGATAGCAATACTAAGACCAAAAGTAATGGATACAGAATCTCAATCTGATGACAATACTTCAATTGTCTCTATACTATCTTTGCTACCTAGCAACTTTACGAATTCTGCTAATTAAAGTATAATTTCAAATAATCACAGTACAACTTCAACTATCTCAACGAAAAGGAAAAAATTCAATATACAATGAAAAATAAAACCAAGCCCAGTTATGTCATCACTGTCATTATCATTATTGCTGTTGTCATCATCATTGTCATAATTTGTGCTTGAGAATTAATTTTGGATTGTGAATCAATTTCTATCTCTAAAAAGAACAGCATCTCAAAAGGATTAAATACTAAAAAGATGAAATACTAAAAGAACAGCATCCCAAATGCACAAAATTCTAATATAAAAATTTTAATATTTAACTTTATTAATTTGATATTGATATATTGTTACAAGTTTGTTCACTAATCATTAAATTAGCTTACAAATGAGAACCTGGATTAGAAGAGGGTATAAACTAATAAAGAAAATATTAAGAGAAGAGGGATATCTAAGACCTATGCCAATTTCTATGGAAATTGTGTTTTCTTGAAAAGAAATAATAATATAGGAGAGTTATGAGAGAGTAAAGGTCAAAGGGGAGAGAGAATACAAGAATAATAAAGGAGATATGAAGAGGAATTTTATACTAGTGTAAAGCTTTCTAGAATTTAAGGTAATATGATTAGTAATAATAATAACAAAGACTCTTTTCACTTTGTTCTTCTCACAAGTGAGAAATATTCATTAATAATTAAAAATTCAAATAACAAAAAGTAAAAATACTTATAAATCCAATTTCAATAATTTCCAATACAGTAATTTGTTCAGCACAATACGATATAAAGCTCAATAATCTAATAACAGCGATTTGCTCAATGCAATACGATATAAAGTCATTAGCAATTTGATAGATTCAACATGATATAAGATTACTTATATACAAGATTTGAAATATATAAAAAAATATGAGAGATGAGAGATATTTGGAAAAAGGTTTTTGTTAAGAGAGATTTTTATTTTCAGTAACAACATGTCGAGTTAAGACTTAGACAGCACCTTTATTTATATATTTTTCGAAATTACAAAAAATGAAAATAATTATATAAAAAAATATATAAAAGTGAAATAACTAGTTATAAAAGTGAAAAGTAAAAAGTAAAATTTTGAAAAAGTGAAAAATAAAAAGTGAAAAATTAAAAAGTTATAAAAGTGAAAAATAAAAAGTAAAAAATTGAAAAAGTGAAATAATAAAAGTAAAAAATAAAAAGTAAAAAATCAAAAAAGTGAAATAATATATATAAAAGTAAAAAATAAAAAGTGAAATTTCTGAAAAGTGAAAAATAAAAAGTGAAAATAAGAAGTGAAATAATAAATAGTGAAATAATGAAAAGTGAAATAATACTAGGAGATTTTATCATTATATAAATATTTTTGAAATTTTCATGCTTTTCAATTATTTTTGAATTTGCAATTTTTATATTACTATTGTAACAATATCTATAACTTTACTATGTTATAGAAATATTACGTAAAAGAAAAATAAAAAAATCATGAATTACGTTATAAAAACACTATAAAAGAAAAATCATGAATATTATTTAATATCACAAAAAAAATTAATAGACTAATTTAATTTCTTGAAAAAAATATTCATTACAAAAAAAGATTATGTGCAATTCCACAAACAAATTCCATTATTGTACAATTTGCTTGATTCTCAATAACAATCATAATTCTTTTCTCTCTATCAAGTATCTTCTTTCTTGACTTTGAATGTTACTCATCACGAAGAATATTTTCAACTATAAATTCAACTTTTTGTTGTTCTTTCTGAAATTCTTTAATAATGATATAGACACCTATATGAGCTTGACCAATTAAAGTTTTCCAATGATGATGTCAAGCTTCTATATTATTTTGTGTTCGTGGAATTCCTAGTTCTATTGAATCATATATAGATCATAATTATGATAGAAAAAGAGGTGATATATGAATTGCATTACCATTTCACAGTTATCTTCTCATTCTTTCATGTACATAATTATCTTCAAATCATTGTACCACTTCTTTTGCTTCTGGTGACATTTCCAATTTCAAAATATCAAATGCTGCAGATATTTCATGTTGTGATAAAAAAACCAAAGCAAATAAATGATGTAACATGAAGCTAAAATATTCATCTTCACCATATTGAGTTGCTAATCCACAATTTTGTATTTTTCACCAATTACTTTGTTCAAAATGAAAGAAATATTCTTTATTAGTAACATCAGGAAATTCAATATTTGAAGCATTAATTGCTGCTTGTTCAAAATCTGTAAGAATTCTTGAGAATTTCAGTTGAATATCATTTTTTTCCACAAAATTAATCAAATCTTGAAATAATTTTTTATATAATTCTTCAGATTTACTGGTCATTAATATATATACAAGTGAAAGAATTCTAGAATTATTCTCTGAACCAACAGATGCATGAATTGTATATATTTGATGAAAAAGTGTTGGAACTGTTTTGAATTTGCCATCCATAATCCAAAATAATGTTTGATTCAAATACTGAATATTAGCTCTTGTTGTAAAAAGAAGGATTCATTCTTGATTAATTATAGAATCTCTCACAAGGAAAAGATCACCACCCAAGGTAGAATGAAGTGAATCTGGAATATTGATTTCATCAAGAGTTTTCAGTTGTGGTGGTATTTCTGTTCTTCTAGCACACTTAATTTTCACACGAAGAGCATTATGTGATGGTATATAAGGATGAATTTCTTCTGGAACATTGATAATATTATTTTGAATAATTTGTGCTGGTTGATTATTTGTTTCTTGTGCTTATTTCTTGATATGAGTGATTGTTTTGGCAATACCAGCACTGCTAGCTTGAGGTGAATGATTATGATCAACAAATTTTTGTAGATGATGCAAACCATCAAGAAAAATGGTGACTACCCGACCTTTGCAATTTTCCAATTTCCTTTTTTCACAACACCAATAGAATGTATTCTCCCAGTTTCAGTTTTTACTTTAACCATTAAATAACAAAGAACATTGAGTTTAGCATTTTCTCTTTGAGAAGGCACAACTTCGCAAATTTCATCCATTTTTACTAATAAGTTTTTATACTTTAAAATTTTATCACGTTAATAAACCTTATCATTATATATGTATATAAAATAGGATAAATGAATGTATGTAATAATATAAAGCTAGCTTAAAGGTGTGTATGTAACGATAGTGATAAGAGTTTGCTTTTCTCACGTTCATCCATCGTAATAATAGTTATTTATTTTTATATTATTGTCGATCAAATTCGTATCTTTATGATTTCATGCATTCAGGATTTCATTCATTCAGTATGCTGTGCATTCAGAATTTTGTGCTTTCAGTATGCTATTTCGTTAATTCAGTTATGTATTGTCAGAATTGTGGTTGTCGGGATGTTGATGTTGAACGTCACTCGCCATAATGAGAACAAAAAAGACTGTTGTTGTTTGGATGGATCAGTTTAGTCAGACTATCGCAGATGTCAAATAATGGGCGTCATATTAACGAGAGTTGATCAATAAATCTTTAGTTTGCAACATCATATAAAGCAAAAAGCACAAAGAATGATTTTCAGAGACGTCTAAAAATTTTTGTGGTGTTGTGATAAAACGTACAGTACAAGTTCTTAAAGAAGTAACGTGAAAAAAATCAATGCGTACAACATGACAATACTGATACATATTTGTATTATATACTACTGAGTATTAGAATAATGCAACAAATTACATGTATACACACATATATGTATCAAAATATATTACTATAATGATCCTGTCCTGTGTAATTAAAGAAAACATTGTGGGAATTTTTCGTGTGATTTTTACATACAATATATGTAATATATTGTATGTCCGAAAAAATTATTAAAGGTTAATTTAAAGGTTAGGATTAGGGTTAGGGTTAGAGCTGAGATCAAGATTATATACAAAATTGCCTTCCTGACATTTTTTATTAGTGAACCAAGCTAGATTTCAATATCTATTTCCCGTATTTTTTATATTTTTTGTTTTTTCATTTCTTGTATCAGATTTGTTTTGCCGGAGCTGATCATTTATTGGTTTGTATCACCTGCAGATCAAAAATTCATTATTGCTATTGAAACTTCCCACAACAAAAATAACGATCAAAACATAGAGTCTATACACTCCTTACACAACCAGGCCAGGATCATTTTATATCATTACTTATTATAGTTATATTTTATTAATATATTTTGCGTACGCATCGATTTTTTTTACCATATGTTACTGATTATTGGGTACTACGCACATTATCATTATCGTTATCACTGTAGAAAAACACATATTGATTTCTAATTTTGTAAATTCGGTCTAACATGTTTGTGCTCAGTTCGCGATCACATGATAACAAATCAATAAGAATGCACAAATCATATGTGTGCCAGCAACTATTAAAGGTCAACTTTATCATTTGGTTTAGAGTAATGGTTAGCGTGGAGGACAAAGTTATATGTAAAATTGCTTTCCCGACATTTTTTATTAGGGCTCCAAGAAGTTTTTCATTTTTTGTGTTGGATTTGATTTAGGGCTGATCAAAAATTTGTGCATCCTTATTGGTTTGATCACGAGTACGTAATCAGAAACTGAGTACAGATAATTACGCCATGTACAGTCGCCACAGAAAGTAACGCCCGATTTGGATGTGCAACATCAACATAAATTTAAATGTGGCGGTTTTC